GCCCCCTCAGCTGCCTCCAGGTCAAAGAAGTGTTTAATCTGCAGGGAATGTGTACCGGCTGGGTATGTGTTCTCAGGCACTGAAGACCCAAACAGCCCTGAATCAGACAGAGGGATGTGTGGGGGCGTAAGGGGGCATGAGGGGCTGTAAGGGGGCGCCGGTGCCCACTTGCTGCCTTCACCGCAATCACAGACACTGGTTTTTTGCTACCTGGGTGCCAGATGCTGCACCTGTAAACCTGCATGAACAGTGATCCAGCAGTAATTCAGGGGGGTCATCTGGACATGTGTAAAGCCGGGCTGCCAATTCAAAACAAGTCTGCACACACATTTACATGCATGCAATAGTTTTATTACCTTGTAAATAGTCTGTAGGGTTTGCAAACTGCCCCAGCGCTTCTGATGCAGCTAATTTTAGGATTATAACGGAATAATATCGATTTGCCGTAAGATTCACACCAGACGTGTTGACAGCCCTTGCAAAGACATGCCTGAAGACAGAGCCCCGTGGGCACATGCTGGTGAAAACACCATCGTTTTGGGTCAAGGCTGCATTCTTCCTCCCCTCACTTCAGCAGGACACCTTTTTAGGGAAGTGAGTGGAGCCAGTACACCGGACGAAAACCGAGGGTGTAATGTTTGATAGCTGTGAACTCACCACTCTTAGCTCAGTTTCTAAGCCAGTTTTGACACCACTGTGACGTCAGCTTTCAGTCCAGAAGACACAACACAGCAGACTGAAATATTCATAAAGTCCCAGCGCATTCTAATTTGTGGCTGATGTTAGCCTAGGATGTAAAGTACCCTCCATAACACTTCTGGGCTCCTCAAGCAGCGGGTTTCAAACACAGGAAATTTCAGCTGCACTCCTCAAAGATGCAGAAAACTAAAAATAACAATCTTACTAATCTAAGAAGCGGCGAACTCAAGTAAGAACCTCTTTCACTCCTTTGAAGCGAAGCTTGTGACGCCTGCAGAGCTGGGGGGACAGTGCCACCTGCTGTCTGAACGGAGTATTTACCCCTGACAGCAGAGGAAGGACGTTAACTTCCGGAGCGGACAGCGGCGGTCGGGCTCATATCCATGCAGGATACGCTGTTCTACTCCGGAGCAGCGCCGCTGCCAAGGGGACAGCCGCGTAGCCTCATTCTCATCTTCAGCTTCTAACCAGTTTATCCAAAGGAGAGAAAAAGAATTTATTATATTTTTAAACGATGTGAATGTCCACTGTGACTAGTGATTACATTTTAACGTGAAAAATATATTAAAACATTAAAGTGATTATACGTAACAGTAATAATTTAGGCAGTCAGTCTTTTGTAGTCTTGCCTGTATTACATTCAGTCAAGTTTAATCTTCACGCCTGCACGCGAGAACCAGCACTTCATTTTCTGGGCTCTCGTTTTCTTCTTGCTTGGTAGTGCCCTCTAGTGTTAATCATCAGTATGACCCCAGCAGGGCTTTTGACTTGCGGTCTGTTAAGGATTGAATAAAGGCTCTGTAATTTAAACGATACTAATTGCCACAGTATACAGAGCTTGATAATCGCAAGTATGTGGATCCTGCTTCAGTACTCAGTACTGAAACAAGATTTCGCCACTTGATGTATTTACCACTGGTTTCAGTTGCTCAGTATTCAGTATTTGGTAGTTGGAGTCTCAACGTAAGCAGGCTGAATATGAGCATTTGATGGTTAGTTATATCCAGCGCAGCCCCCATAATCGGTATTGTGTATTTGCTTAGTGAAGTCCAACATCCATGGCTGCACCCTCAGTGCTCAGATGTGGTGCCATCCCAGCAAGCCAGCTCATTGGCTGAGGGTAACACAGTTCACAGGCCAATTCCTTGATCCTGGCCCACAGGAAGCCCAGCAGTTCTGGAATAAAAACGAGCTTCCATCGGGCGTGCACGGCCTTGATCCTGCCAGTGGGAGGCGCTAGTCGACGTGCCAGGCTTCCTGGGCGTCTGCCCGTTTCCGTGCTGGCGAATTGTGTAACGCTGCTGTTCCAGAAAAGGTTGTGCCGCATTCGCTGCCCCGGAGCATGGAGTGCGTGTGGCAGAGTAGGAATGGAGTGTTTTTAGGGGATTTGGGTCAGGATGGGACAACGGCTTGCGGCTGTGGGGGCCAGGAGCTGGAATATTACTGCACACTGACACCAACCCAGTAGATCTTGGGAGCACAGTCAAGAGGGGCCCTTCCTGTACTGGAGTTAAGGATTGGGGCGATGCGGCGCTACATCCCAACCAGAAATGACCCCAAAGCCGCAGCACGGATTTCTGATGCGTGTTCTGTTTTACTCTTTCCCCAGCAATCAGCCAACAGGGCTGCAATCCTTCAGATCTGTAGCGAAGTGTTGGGCATTTCAGGTCCAGAAGCTGCAAATCCAGACCAAGATTTTGTTTCTACCAACCAGCTGAGTTCTCTGTGACTGAGATTCTTTATGCTCAATTGGTTGGTAGAAAATCTTGGTCTGGATTTGTAGCTTCTGGACCTGGACCTACACTGCAGTAGCGAAATGTGTCCTCTACCCTCACGGCGACTCCTACCATCCAGGAGAGTTTGTGAGGGGACAAGGGGTCTAATCGGTCAATCGCCAAAGCTGCTTACTGTTCTTATCACATTAATGACAGCTTATGTCCGAGCGGAACACCTGTGGGCCACGCATAATACCGAGAAAACTGTCCTTATCGGTCAGTTATGTCACTGGAGCTCACTGCTTAGCATTTCCTGTTCCTGCTTGATGGCCACTGCGTATGAAATGCCGCCTAAGTGACATAGAGCCCCCCCAGCTGCCATCTCATAATCCAAGCACAGCTTCTACTTTTAAAAATCATGTTCCACTTCCTGCCAAAAAAACACTGAAACACTCTAAACAAACACGAAATCCTCCCAGACCTGATGCCTGGCTCAGTGTTTGATTCCTGTGTGCAGCTTGTATCCTCTGCTTGAGTTTGCTCGTGTTTCCTCTCTGTAATCCAGATTTACAAGCGGATGGGAGAAACACAGCAGGTAGAGTAACATACACACTGTGGTCCCTTCATTAGGTCGACTTATTATGTACCAGGCCAGACCCAGCTTTGCCTCCAGAGCTGCTTCCAGGCTAAACGAGCTGCAAGTCCAGAGAAGCTTTCCTGCTCACCACAGTCACATTGAACACAATGTACGACACCAATGCTTACACCGCATTCAAAATGGCTTAGATCTTGTGCCTTAGCTGTTGTGATGCTTAGTCAAACAGCACCTGAAGCTCCTGGTCCTGTCTGCATGCTGCAAACGTCCGGCTGCTGCTGTGTGGATCTCATCTCCATGTTTGGGAGATGAGGCTGTTTGCGTTGACGAGTAGATGCACCTGTCAAACTCACCACCAAGTCCAGTTTTTGCTGGACGTGGCTGGAGTCTCAAAGAAGACTTTTGTTGGAAATCAAAGATTCCATCTCATCAATCAAAGATTTCCAACAAGCACCACATCCTGGTGTTTTTCAAACCCAACCGGACCCTAAGACCTAAACAGGCGAGACAATGTGCTGCGATCTGTCCAGGACAATGAGAAAAGAACAAATCTATACATAAATAACATACAAACAGTAACTCCACTGGGTAGAACAAAATGTGATCTACAGTCAAAGGACACTTTTTTGATGGCACTCTTTTGATGACAACGATGTGCACAGAGAAGACAATCTTTACCTTTCCCGTTGCCAGAACCATCTCTGGACTCCAGGCGACACTCATGTGATATAATCAGGTCCAGTGGATGCCCCACAGAAGTTTAAATTCTGGGGAACTGATGAGGCCTCTTGGATGACCGCTGGAACATTTTCAAGGTCAAACAGCAAGTCTTCTGACTTAGTGCTAACAGACATACCATGGCCTAGATGACAGAGAACCTTCTCAGACATGCTCAGACCTCCTACCAGAATCTGAAGATATGATCATCATGAGAACCAGGCTACTGTGCTGCTAAATGGTCATGGAAGATGAATAGATACTTTTAGTTAAATGTTGATGTTTTCTGAGGTCCTGACCCTTACTCTCGCTCATTTTGTCCGTCATAGTCATCAGACATACCACCACACTGGCTAAAAGACCACCACACTGACTAAAAGACCACCACACTGACTAAAAGACCACCACACTGACTAAAAGACCACCACACTGGCTAAAAGACCACCACACTGGCTAAAAGACCACCACACTGGCTAAAAGACCACCACATGGACAGCCATCAAACCTTTATTGATACTGACAACACCTATAGCAGACACAATCAGAAGCGATTTATTCATGTCAGATTTTTACAAAAACCAAATTATAAATGAATGCTAATCTTTACAAAGAAGTAGCCTTTCCAGTGCATGTGGCCTGCTTTGGGTTTGTCTATCAGACTGACTTGATAAGAGGAAGCATACAGAAGAATATGGGACCTGCCTGAGACAGAGCTAGAGGCCAAGGGGGAGAAACAACCGGAGAATTTACCTGCCGATCTCAGTTCCCCCCTCAGCCCTCAATTTCTCTGGAGGGTGTGGGGTCCCAGAGCCCCCCCTCTGGAGGGTGTGGAGTTCCAGAGCCCCCCCTCTTTATCATCAGTCAAACTGCATACTCTGAAGTATTGGCATAGGTGTGGATCAGGACAATCAATCAATCGAGCAGAATCAAGGACCTGGATACACCAGTGGAAATCGGTGAGAACCAGAACCTCAGACTGAGGACAACACAAGAGGGTCACCTCTCAGTGTCACAGTCAGAGCAGGAGGTCAGCTCATGGCCTTACAGTCTGAGATCTTCCCTTTTTTTGTTTTCATGCAAAACGATCTACTTTGATGTCTTCGTACAAGTCCAAGTTTCATCAGTAGTTTGTGTTGTAATGTCTCCATCTTCTGACTATCAGACTTTGTGACTATTAAGTTAAATGTCCACTGAGTAAAACATTCCAGCAATTAAATTCTACAAATCTGCAGAGCAAAAAAAAAAAGATTATTCAAAAATAGATGAGACTAATTTTATTTTGTACTCCTCTGGGGTTTAGATTAGTGGAGCTATATTACAAAACAAAACCGCGTGGGTGTGTATGTGTGTTGAGAGGGATGATCGTTATACTCAAATTGATTTTCTTTCATATGTACAAAATTAAAGTCTTTTTTCATGTTTTTTTTGTATTATCATGCATTTTTCATTATATACATGCAAACAATTATGTACAAATTTTGCGTCTTATTTTATCACCCACTTCACTCTCCTTCACTTTCAGTGGTCAGTGTGGATGTGTGCTTGTGTCCATCTCAGTGGATTTTACCGCTGTGAAGAAGAGAAGCATGTCAAAGAAGATGCAGCCAATCAGAAAGGGCTTCAGCAGGGGCTTCCCATGGGAGGAAGTGACCTCAGTCCTGGTGGGTGTGGCTCACTCAGCTCACTGTGACAACAGGCTCCTCCTCCACCCCCTCCTGCACCTGGTTGGCCTTGCCCAAGGCCTTGATTTTCTCCATTAGGTCAGAAAAGGTCTCACTTAGGGTCTTCTCTAGCAGCCAGCCCTCACTCTCACTTTCTGGTTCCTCTGGAATCACAAGTGTTGCCAGAGATGTGTTCAGGTACTGCAGTCCTGCTGTTACTGCCACCTAGAGGCCGGAGGAATGAAACACATTTAATTAGCCAAAAAGATAAAGACAACAAACTCATATCTTTAATTTTCCCGAGTAGACTGACTAACAAATTAGAGATTATTTCTGCCTAACAATCTAAAGTTAGTATTTAATTACTTATCCACAATCAAGGAGGCAGAACATCAAACACTAATATCTTGATCCCACCCCAATGTGTCTCTTTCACGTAACTGTTGCTATTTCAGGGTCGCGATTCCCCTCGTTGCCTCCAGTCTGTGGTAATCCCACAGATTGAGTTTAGCAGGGCGGCTCAGGTAGCCTCTTAAAATAATAAATCAGTGCTCAGCTGCTGCAATTGACCCTAAAGATATTTATACAACATTCGTGACAAGAGAAACACTAAATGCCTCAGGAAGCCACTTTACATGGAGATACCGTAATGCTGTAAATGAGACACAAAATGCGGGCAGCTTGTAGCACAGCACATATTTAAGTACCTCATTTGTCAGCGTGGGAGAGGCCCACAAGGGCGAGCAGCCTGCAGCCATTTATACTCGGGGCTCCAGGCCTGTCAGGTGTTTATTTCAAGCCCCAGGACTGTTAGCCACCGGTCTTTAGCCACTCTGCTACATGCACATTCCTCCCATGGTAACATACGATAGAAGTAGTAGGAGTCTAACAAAGGATAGGAAGAAGGAGAGGAGCAGGGAGTACAGCCCGAGCAAGGAGAGGAGCAGGGAGTACAGNAAGGAGAGGAGCAGGGAGTACAGCCCGAGCAAGGAGAGGAGCAGGGAGTACAGCCCGAGCAAGGAGAGGAGCGGGAGTACAGCCCGAGCAAGGAGAGGAGCGGGGAGTACAGCCCGTGCAAGGAGAGGAGCGGGGAGTACAGCCCGAGCAAGGAGAGGAGCGGGGAGTACAGCCCGAGCAAGTCTGCACCCTGATCTAGATTCTGCTGCAGGTGCTAGTGGAGGGGGGTCATCTGGGGGTCGGCCAGGGGAACGTCGTAACGTGGGAGTGAGCATGAGCCATGGGGCTGGGGCCAGTCTGACCCCTGGGCCTAAAATGGAGCCCAAGGTTCTGAGAAATGAAAAGGGTCAGCAGCACCTCAGCGAAGTGGTCACTGTTAGCACCGAGCAGCGATGGCCCAGACGCAGCCTAGGAGAATGACAGGGGGAAACTGGCACTGCCATTAAGATGCCCGCTCTCCGTGTGCTTCAGCTATCTGCTCTTTCATCCTGGCTAATGCTAACTGAAGCATCATTGGATAAATGCTAATGAAGAGAGAAATGGGTCTGTAAAGCTCAAGATTTGTGGGATTATTTACACTTTATGCATGCAGCAGACACTTTTATCCAGAGTGTCATGCTTATTTAAGTAAGCAGGGTCACCGGGCCCTGGAGCAGCTGGGGGTTAGGGACCTTATCCAGGGGCCCAACAGTGACATCATTCTGCAAACCCGACGTCTGACCTGGCATATGAACCCGCTGAGCCACACACTGTCTGTCAATCACACACGTGTATTTAAACCAGCTGGTGGTTTCATTTCTGTTCCCCACTGGGCTAAACTAAGTTAAATAGTGATAATCCCACACAGCAATTCCACCAACCAATGTGTCTGAAACTTAGCTGCTTCGCAGAACTAATGAAAATACCCATAAAATGACTACAAAGCAAATGTGATGTGACTGCGTGAAAGAGCGATGGTAAGAGAAAGGCTGTTTCTCAATGCCATGAGTGCTGAGGTCGTGCTTGTGCTCTCAGGACTGGTCCTGCTAACTTGGGCTGCAATGAATCATGGGATTGGTCTTGTTTTCCAAGGATGCAACTGATGTATCCTTGATATTTGGGACGGCAAGAACGACATCTGGGGATTTTTACAGTTCTCCATCCGTTCTATTGGAACTGGTCTTTGGCAATGGAAGATGTCATAACACGATTACACAAGAACACAAGTACGGTCAAGTACGCATACTGAGATACGCCCAAAGTCTAGTTGGCTATGTGCCGTATGGGACTGGATCAGAAATTAGTACAATGGTTCAGAAGCTAAACCCCTAAGCTAAAAGGTGGCCCAGCATACCTACTTTCAGGGGTTCTCAACTTTCAAGAGTGACTTTGTGCCTTGACAAGAAAGGGAATACTCTGAGGCTGGGTTACAAATTTGCTCTTGAGCTTATATTCTTAAGGACTTAATGACTGGCAGAGCAGCCAGAGCTGTGGCTAAAAGCCAGATCACCTCCAGGACGTCGAGCAGCAGCACCAGTGCACCGATGCTGCTCATCATGCCGCCGTAGTAGGAGAGCAGCGCCTCCCTGCAGCCACGCCTCCAGATGTTGAGCTCTTCACTGCGGTGCTCGTAGCTGTAGTGGGCGGAGTCATTGGTCAGCTGCTGCTGGATGCAGGGCCGCGGGGAGCCGGGGTTGCAGCAGCTAAACGGGACGCTGTCCATCAGGTACTGCCCCTCCACGTTACTGCTGATGCGGCTGTGGGGGGCAGAGGCCCACGTGGGGGGCAGAGGCAGGCTGTTTACATGTTTCGGAGGCAGGCTATTTACATGTTTCGGAGGCAGGCTACATGTTTGAGGTCTCCACCCATTTAAGGGGGTCCAGCGGGTTGTATTGGCTGGTTTTGATTATTGGGGGGGGGTTTCAACCCCCCCATCTCACCATAATTTACGCCCGTGACTTGGTACTGGAACTTTTGGTACTGGTACCCCACTGGAAGTCGATGGAAAAAGGAAAGTACCGGAAGGACCAAAGGTATGGTACCCAGTATGGTGGAAAAACACCTTTAGAGGTCCTTCGCGTCACGGTGGTGAAACATGACGCCTTTAAGGCAGGGGTGTCACACTCCAGGCCTGGGGGGCCGGAGCCCTGTGTAGCTTTAGCTCTTTCCCTGTTCCACCATAAATGATTCAGCTTAAGAGCTGTGTGCTAATTAGCACAAGGAGTTTAATCAGGTGTGTTAAATGAAGGTAAACCAAAAACTGTGCAGGGCTCTGGCCCCCCAGGACTGGAGTGTGACACGCCTGCCTTAAAGGGACCTCAGCATCATCTGGAGCTGTAATGGATTATACTGCTGCACAAAAAACAGGGAAGATTTTTGTATTTATATACTTCATACAAAAGCAATAACTGCTCCCTAATGCAAATGCAGCTAACAGAGTTACTCAAAAATCAGGATATGCTTCTATTGTTATTAAGCTACATCAGTAATAAAAACTTAATTAAGAAAACTTATAAATTAAGAATGATCGTCATTCAATGGCACTTCCAAAAACATACTGACAAAGCCCAAGAGATGGGCCCTCAGTACCACTCACTCTTTAACCTCCTTGGAGCTAAAATCCAGGTAACGGTTGCTGATCCACTGGATTTCGAACCAGTCCTTGTAGTTGTTGTTTCCACAGCAGTGGAACTCAATCTGTGTCAGATCCAGCGTCCTCTTCATAAAGCAGTGGCCCGGAATGTCCGTGTCCTTGTAGAACTTCATGCTGTTCTTCAGGCCTTCAGCCAGTGTGAACTGGAGGGACAATCTCATAGTGAAACACAGGACTGCTGTGAAGAAGAGAAGCATGTCAAAGAAGATGCAGCCAATCAGAAAGGGCTTCAGCAGGGGCTTCCACTTGGGAAACTTGGTGGCGTCCAGCAAGTCGTAGCTGATTTTCCCACCAAAGGCATTGATGCAGCATCCTACCAGCCCCACCAGGATCAGCAAGTTGGGAACAAAGTGGCTTTCCTTGTTGTCCATCATCTCGCTCCGCTTGCGAAGCTCGGTCTTGAAAAGGAGGCCCATACTAAATACCAGGACTCCCACCACAACGGCAAGCCAGTACATTAACCAAAGTCCTTGAGCAAGCTTCACACGTCTCTTCAGGTTGAACTTCACCTTCATTAGTGCCATCCTGATTCAGTGCGTCTTTGCTACAATACAACTGTTTGTCTTCAGGAGCTGACTGATTTTCACTTAATCAATAGTGTCTCCGTGATTACAGTCAGAGCTCACTCAGTTTCAAAAAACAGTGTGCAGGCAAACAGTGCGTGCAAAGGTTCAATCCATACCAAAGGAAAACACTCCTTATTTCACAGGATCTTCTTCAGATAAGTAAGTGGCTGAGAACCGATGATCCAAGGTTTCATCCATATAAATCTGTTTTTCATATAAATCTGCATGAATTGGACGGAATGGCTGGACTCACCATCTAACTCTGTCCATTCTTTTTCCATTCTAGGGAGAAGGATCGCAAAGGATCCAAATGATTACAGTCAAAATCCCTGTACGTCATCCTACACCTCCTAACTGGTCTGATCCCATTTGTGGAAATCCTTGACGACTCATAAGCCCCGGTTTAATCTCCAGTTTTGGAGTGTAATTGGTTTAGTTTCTGGTTTGGTTCTTCACATAGCTGGTTTGTTGTGTTGTGAAAGTTAAACAAAAGGGACCCTGTATTAACGAGGTGCATGCTCCAAACAAAGCGGACTGTAGCGTTTTCCTTTACAGTAAATTTATGAAATTTTCTACTTCATTTAACTATTAAAGACTATTATAAATTACTGTCATCTATCTGAAGAATTCATGATAATGTTTTGACAGTTGTGACATCAACACTGTAAGGTATCCCGTAGTGACCAAAAAGCACAGAAAAAAAGCAAAGCACACTTTCTGTTCACATACCACCAGCAAACAAACCTGCTAAGTGGACTTGTACAGAGTGCTCTGAGTTTGGGGTGGAGTGCTCTGAGTTTGGGGTGGAGTGCTCTGAGTTTGGGGTGGAGTGCTCTGAGTTTGGGGTGGAGTGCTCTGAGTTTGGGGTGGAGTGCTCTGAGTTTGGGTTGCTTTTGCGGGGTGTGAGTTTGTCTGGAGCTGTCACATACGGCTCATTTTTTTGTGGGAAACACACTGAGTCCCCTTGAATTGGCAGAATCGAGCCAAGTATGAACACATCCTAAGACAGTCAAGGTCCCTGTTACAAAAGGAGGGAAACGCGAAAGTGCAATTAGGCCTTTGAAGCTTGAAGTAGCATTGATCCACCTCAAAAGAACTGCAAAAATAACGCAGCTAACAGTTTGGAGTAGTTACTGCAAAAACGTAGAGTTTGCCTCATTGTTTATCTTGGTTCTGTGAAGCCTCAAGCCTCGGCACTGAGTGTCCTGGCATCTGAACATCCACCATTATCCAACTGCTGCTTAGTTACTCTTGAACAGTCTTACGAAATCACCATTGAGAGCAGCCAAAGCTTCATTCAAATGCAGGATATTGCCAGCAGCCAGCAGCCACAACGGGCTTCAGAAAACAAAAGATCTATTCCCTCTACTTAGAAACATGTGATTAGTAATTATCTGCCAGTACCCTAAAAATGTATGTATGCAACATGTATACAACATGGATTATGCTGCACAATAATGACAGGCCTACCTGGGACTGTCAGTCACTCATCTGACACTGATACTGGAGCCCTTGCTTTAGCAAAGGTATTCAGAAACTGATGAAATAATTAATTTCATATAAAAAAAAAAGCCAGTTAGCTCCAGTGGCGCAATCGGTTAGCGCGCAGTACTTATACAGCAGTACGAGCAGAGCCATGCTGAGGTTGTGAGTTCGAGCCTCACCTGGAGCAACATCTTTATTTCAACAGGCTGAGACCACTGAATGAGCCCCGCATGCTGCACGTGTCAGCTGAGCTCACTAATAACCTTATTAGGTTGCTGCTTTGCTTGGTAGTTCACCATTATGCCCTTGAGCTGACCCTAGCCCACCCCTCCCCCAGCTGTATGACCTTGCTTTCACAAAAATGTATGTCATTTTGGATAAATGCATCAGTAATGGACTGAAGCCACATCTCACTAAGCTTTCCTGTGGTCACTGAGATGCACATTTTCCCTGAAGTTCATAATAGCAGGGAATGAGCATTATGGAAAACATGCTTTTATTCACCAACCTTTAATAACTATCACTGATTCTGTTTTGTTGCCGCAGCTTGTTTGTCTTTTCTTTCTTTTGGGTATTACTGTGTCTTACTGTATTTTTATTTATCCGTTTCATTGTACAATTAGTGTAAAGCACCATATATAACATTATTGCCATTGTTTTAAATGTGCTACATAAATTCATCGCTATTGCACTTGCTGTGGCCTTTTGCTTCCAGGGTTTGGAGTCAGTTCCTGTCCCTGCCTGTTCAGAAACCAGCCCTCAGTATGTGTGCATTGTTACAGATTGGCATCCACCCCAGGGTGTCCCTGTGCTGCCATCTACCCGTCACACTAACCCATGAAATAGGGCCACTTTAGGCAGTTTAAATGAGGCCCAATTACACACCTGTTTGCTGTGATAGAAAATACGCATCACAGATACAACAGCTTACTTGTTCTAAAAATCCTGATATTGTCATTCACCTTCTCTCTTGCCATTTATCTTTGCAAAAAAAGAACCTCTATGTTGTCTAGTTTAAAAAAATGGTGTGATTAAATTTCTGGAAGGTTGTTTTCATTGAAACATTCAGGGATGGATGCCGTGTCAGAGGATTACAAGTTTGTCAACCAATCACACCAGTGCAACTTAGCAGCTAAATGTAAACTGCACCCCCAATTATGCCCAAATTGACAGTGAGATCTCTGGGCAAGAAAAGCAACAGGCACATTCATAACAGACACTGTACAGGAGGCTGCAAAACCACAGCCCAAATGCATCTTTTTATATGACCTGCAAGTGGGTGTGTAAATACTTTTGTAGATAAAAACTTTCATTAAAGACACTGCATTCTCTCCTGTGGACACACAAGACACTCTTAACAGGGACAAGCATAAAGGCTGATAATGGAGATTTATTTCATGGTTTTCCTGCAGGTAATCCCAAGAATTAGCTGAAAAAACATCATGAGCTGTCTCCTGTTAGATTGAGGCATTAATCATAGTTCAGGTTAGTAGAATACTGGCTTTATCTCTGGGCTTGCTAATTGCTTGTAAATTAAGTGAAAATAAATATATCGTGTTTAGAGGACATACAACCACTGCCCTCGTCAATGAACGCTAGGCCAGCATAATACATAAATCAGTCCCAGCTGGTCCTCCTTTCCGACTCGGGAATGAGCGTCCAGTTCGGGGACGGCGTATCCGCCGCCAGCCAGTTGAAGTCATCCACTTGGCTCCAGTTGTTTCTGCACTTGTCCAGTCCGGAAGCCTCGAAGTCGGCGTCCAAAGCCGGATAAGTCCAGCTGAAAGGGGCGAAGCTAACCCCAGTGCAGTCCTCGATGATCGCTCGGCTGGTGACATGCAGGTAGATTCGGGTGTCGCCGGTGTTGTGGGTCCGCAGCTGCTGACAGGGGACGGCGAGCGTGCAGCCGGAGCAATCGTCCACGAAGACCGAGCCGGAAACGGGTCCGCACAGGATCTCCGAGTCGCGGATGTGTTTTATGTGCAGGGTGCTGGGCGCGCCGTAAAGCCTCACCCGGCAGCCCGTCAGGTGCGTCAGGAGCACGTCCCGCTTCCAGATCTCATCCGGCCCTTTGCTCAGAACCTGGCTGGAGACGTTGGAAAAGCCGCACTGTCCTGTCACGCCGACCCCGGCGCCGTCCACGAATGCGCTGCCGCCCTTCTCCGCCGCAGGCTGTGCCGGAAGCGCGCTGGACATCTTGGTTTTGCTCGGCGCCGAGTTCCGCGATCGGAAAGCGAACCTTTTCTTGGGCATCACCTCATCCCGCTTGTCGGCCAGGGCGCCCTGCAGCTTCTGTAGCGACGCCTGCGCCTGGCGGAGCTCGTACTGGGTGAGGAAAGGCATGCTGTCGTTGAGAAATTTCTGTAGGCGCTGGATCCTGGAGGAGACGTCTTCCAGGACCGCAGCGGCGGCGCCGCCATTCTCTGCGGAGCAGCCGGACAACAGCTCTTCAACTGTGACTCTTTCTGTGCCAAAAGCATTAGAAAAGTAATCGATTTTCTCTTCCGCAACCGATTTGCTTTCTTTGGCCTCCTTACGTCGCTCAACCTCCTCTTGCCTTACTTGTTCTCTCTTTAACAGTCTGTCGGGGACTTTAACTGTGTCCCCGTTGCCTTTGTGGGACTCATCCTCCGGCAGCACCAACGCCTCCATCGCAGCACAGGCATGTACTTTCAACAGGAAGCGACTGGACGCTGCAGAGTCGCCTCCTTACAAACGGATTTATGATTGGACACGAATATGCGCTCGTGTGAGTGTACTGTTTTCCAATTGGTGGATTTAAGCTAGGTCAGAGGGCAACGTTTCAGGAGTAAATAGTTTTCATTACACATAGAAAGACATCACTTGAAATATATCAATCTGCCATTTTGAGAACACCATATAAAATTTGCCTACAATACCTGAAAAAGGTGTATCTTGTTCGGCTTTTCAGGTTTTAAACTCAACAGTCCCGTACAGCTCCATACCTATGTTTTGATCACAAATACAGTACATTAACATTCAACCTATTTTAAATATTTCCTAACACAATTCACACACCTTCCAAAATGTATTAGTCCTTTGAATGCTTCATGCCATTTCTAATACTTCTAATCCAAGCAGCTAATTACATACCATAAATAGACATAAAGATATTCATGTGAGTATTACCCTTTAATTTACATGTGTATATTTTAATAGGTATTTTTCTTCAAGGTAATGTATTAGAGATGAAGCTTGGAGTCAGAGAGCAGGGTCATCCAGCAGCAATTAGGATTAATGGCCCTGTTCAAGGTGAAGTAAAGGTGAATTGGAGTTGCCAAATTGCCCATCTTGCTGAATGGTGTGTCTGTGTGTTCTGTGATGGGTTGGTGCCTTGTCCTGGATATTCTCCTGCCGTTCACCTGTAGCTTCTGGGATAGGCTACAGACCCCCACAACCCTGCACAGAACGAGCAGATACAGAAGATGGACGATGGGTGGATGGATGGGCCTGCTCTAAGTCCCAGTGCTGGTATTATTGCTCATCTGACTACTGGATTCGAACCCACAATCATCTGCACACAGACCACTGAGCTACACACTACCCCACATAGCCACTTAGACTAATCATTGTTCATTAATTTGGATGTTTACAGGTTTACCATAGCAACCTATTTCTATATGCTACTGTAAGAACTGTGCCCATAACATATGAACCAACCATAGTTTTACAAAAGTCAGATAGATGCCAACCATTTTAAACAAAGTGATTATTCAGCAAGGCAGCTAATGGTCAGTATAAATTAAAAGAGGAAAAAAAGGAAATTATCTAGTGTATGATCAGGTAAATATTTCAACCTGCTGGAAAAATAAGTGAAGAAAAACAAAAATAACTGAAGATAACTACCTATGTGGGTGGATGAAACTAAGCGCCTTCTTTAGTATCGATGTACTGGAGCCTATTGCAGATATCAGGGTTAAATATTTCTTATGCAGTTTCCCATTCGCTGAAGTGCTCTGGGTTTCTGGTATTATTGTGAGAGAAACTCAAAGCCCTGGGCCCCATCATGACCAAATTAAGAAAGGAGTCATTAGTATGAGGCAGAATAAATATGACAATGAGAAAAGAAATGATTTTCACAACTGAAAAATCTAATAGCTCGCAAAATAGAATGAAAAATAGTCCTTCAGAGCAAATGACATCCATTCAGAGCAAATGACATCCATTATTGATGTATTGTTTTTAAAGACAACAGAGTCATGACATGTAAGCATGATACTTATATGCATATTTGCATAATCATCCTGATAAGTGCTTCTCTATTTTTATGTTGCTATGGAAATTATCATTAATATCGCATTTGTGCAAATATGTTACACCTCATAAATCACAACACACTGTAACTAGATTTTTGTCTCATACTTTATCATGACATCTGCATTTCCTTTGAAGGGCAAATTAATCTCCACACACGTTACTAGTAATGCGCCGTATGTATTATTGCTTAACTATTGTTTTTTTGTTTGTTTGTTTTGTTTTGTTTTTGGCTTGATAGCGACCTTATGGTGGATCTCATCAACACCCCTGCTGACCGGACTTATATGTAGAACTTTAATGCATATACAAAACCTTTGCTCCTTTATTGACGACGCTAAAATGAAACAAGCATATCTGCGCCTTTTTTAGCACTGTCTGTCGGTTATTTTCGCGTGCTGCCCCGGTTTCTATGCAGCTACACGCGCTATGAGGCCGCAGAGCAGCGCGGCTGCGGCGGCGGCGGCTTCCTCGGGCTGCCCGCGCGCCCGCCTGCCTGCAGCTGCCGCCGTCTGCACGAGCGGCGCTGCCCCCGCGGGCCCGTGGCGCCATGGCGAGGAAACCCCGTCCGCCGGCCTCTGCTCTTTCATGACGGTGAGTTTCCCCCTTCGAGTCGATTCTAATTTCGTGATAAAATTTTCAAGGCAGAAAAGACGGTACGCAGCCACACAGCCTCATTCCGTCCCCTTCCAACGGGGAGGGAAGATAGTGAGAGGGGAGAAAATGAGACAATAAAGAGAAAAGGCAGAGGGAGGAGGAAGAGGGGGGCTCATAAAAAGTTGCCAAATGGAGATATTGGATTTCAAGAAGGGAGACAGAGGAGCCGGGATCGCCTCGGGATTTCAGCCGCCTCGCGACACGCAAATCCAAATAAATATTTATGGTTATGCTCCATTTTTACAAGTCGCGGAAGGGGCGGCAGGGAAAGCGAGGCACCGAGCGCAGGAGCGCCGGCCGGCTGTCTGAGGAGCGGGGCGGGCAGGAGAGGCGAGCTAAGCCGCTATCGTAGCAGAGCCCGCGGCGGTAACGGGCCCGCATCCCTTCGCCGAAAAGCCCCCTCCCGCTTTAACAGGACGGGAGAAAGAGAGCCTGTACCGTCCCCTTGGCAGAGCACCACGATTAGGTTTGGGCTGGGAGGGGGTAGGGGGAGAAAGGACCCCCACGGCCGCCGCACGGCGGAGGCGGGGGACGGGACGCTTCTGTCCGCGCTGTCCATCTGCTCGGGTCCGGTGCGGACGTGGGTGTCCAGGCGAGGAGGGTAGCGAAGGTCGCCCAGAAGAAAGACATCCCACGCCATTCATAAATAGGCGTTTCGGCGTTTTAATGCCCCAGCCCGCCTGGGTCACCGCATACGGGATAAAATTCAATAATTACAATTTCACCCCCATTCGGATAAGAATAACGCGGCTAAGAATAAGGCTTCGCCTTAGTCCGTTAGCATACCTGCTAAGTCAGCTAGCTGCAGGCTTTTACTGCCTTTCTGTCCCACGAAATGATCAGCTGACACTTTAAATATTATGTCATGTATCAGATATCGCATTAAAGTTATCCTGTGCGAATCCCCTCTCATTTTACATGTTTTTGTTCAGACCGAAGCGAGCTGGCTGGTATCCGCCGTTACGGACTCCATGCTCGCTCTTCGGTACTGTGCATATTGCCTTTTGCTTTTATAATAAAGGTGTCAGGTTTTCTTTTCTTCCCCCACATGACGGAAAGGTGACTAAACTGTCCACATACCTGGAGTCATGTTGAATAAAGGAGTCGACCCATTTAGGTAATCATGTTTCCCACCTTTGGATTCTGTGGGTCCTTTAACGCATCTACCTGCCTTGTCCCAGTTTTTCCAGTTTCTGTTATTAATTAGTTACTAAATTATTTGATACAGAAACATTGCCACACGTTTTTGGAGTGAGCCTACGGTGGCACGTGGGTCTTTCACAGCAAGCAGAGTTACCCCACCAGCAAAAGCCAGTGGACTAGGACTCCTAGTATACTCATGCTGGTCCCCCCCAAAATAAAGTCCCCGCATGGCTCACTTGGGTTTTTGGCAGACCTTTAAACAGCGTCCCCATTGAATGTTGTATACAGGAAAACTCCCCACCTGTCACGTTGTCACCAGGGTTAGGCTGAGTCTTGTTACGTATATGTTGGTCACTTTCGTAGTTTGAAGGCCTGCATCCACACAACTGGCCTAACATTCCCTGGTGCATCAGTTGCCACTGGACGGTGCACGTTTGGTCAGAGAGGTCTGCCTGGCACCTGCTCGTATCTGGGCTTCATACTGCCCTTCTTTCTCTTTCACGGCAGGAGTTCAAGGTTGCTGTATGGTTCACACCATGCTTACCCTAGAAATCCAGTGAGTGGCCACTGGCCACCCCCGCAACCCCCCCCTCCACATTTTAAGTCGACTCCAGATAATCTGATGGCCAGTGAAGAAAGACTGTTTTTATTTATCTTCTTGCGCAGGTATTTCCGTCTACAGTGTGTATCATACTGGCAGCCTGTGTTTGGCATCTTCTCCATAACACTGGTGTTCATTCACGTGTGGTCTAGAGATGGCAGTGATACAGATTCATGAAGCACAGACTAGGCTGAGTTATGTGAACTTCCTGTGAGTTAAATGAAACTGACTTAAGCCAACTCAGCTGTCATGACATCTACATTGTACATTTTTCACATTTATCTGATGCTTTTATCCAAAGCGACTTACAGTAGAGGGAAAGGCTACAGTGTATGTGTCCCCTCTGGAATTATGGAGTGTCTAATGCAGCAGACCTTTCATCTCTACTTCTCAGGTGTCATGGATGATGAAGATGATCACCTGCTAGATATTATTGGGTGAGTAGAATGTTCCGCCTGCTTATAGCTACCTTAAGTCGCTTGTAGAAGCTGTTTGACAGCCCCGCCGCACCCCCAGTCACGCCCCCAGCCTTGGCACGCCTCTAGGTGCCTAACTCCCTGCAGCTCTCTATTCCATTGAGCTCCAGGTGATCACACACTGACAGTCTGCTGCTCTCTTCCACCCAGAGATGCACATGCCCTGGACAGCTATCTCCATGGATCCAGCAGCAAGTTGGTAAGTTCCCAGACAAGGACCCTGGTGTAGTCGTACTGTGTGCTGTTATCTTGGTATGTGGCCTGTGCATGATATTCCAGCTGAGTTCTTGATTATATGAAACTGATGGTTAAATGATGTCAAAAGTAATGTGATAGCAGACAGCTCAATCTTCCTTTGTTTCAATAAGAATAAATGTGGTTCAAATGGTAATTATCGAAACATTAACCAATTATGAAATGCAGAGCTGCTTTCTAATGCAGTAATAAGCAGTGTTTCTAGAAGCATCCTTGATTATCATTTTTTGTTGCAAAGTTACTATTTGTCAGTAAACACAGATGAGTTTGGAAGTGAAGAGCCTCAAGTGAGCCCACATCTCCCTTTGACACCTCGCAGGGTGACCTGGACATAAAGGAGGATGGGAGCCCCCTGGGCTTGGCTGAAGGGGCGGAGCTGCATGATTCCAGCACCCTGCAGTTCATTGAGGATCTGGGCGGGGTCTCACCATCGGGGGCGGGACTTGGGGATGAGCAGCCCTTCGACATCCTCCAGAAGTCTTTGCTGGAGGCTGACATCACAGAACAGACGCTGGCCCAGGAGGCACTGCTGGAGTCCTCAGCTGGTCCCACGGCCTTCCCCCAGATGTCAGCGTCGGGGGGCGGGTTCGAGGGCGTGGCAGGGGCGGGGCTGTCCTTCCCAGGTGGCACCCAGCCCCAGACCTTCCTTCAGCAGCCTCTGCACAATGGTTCTCTCCCTGGGCAAGTTCAGCTTCTTGGGGCTTTCGATAGCACCTCTTCAGTAATGACCGCACCACCAGGGGGCGGTGTGCAGGGCGCAGTGTTCACCCCCACCCCTCTGGGAACATCCATCCCCCTTCAGAACATAATCATCCAGAGGGGGGCCCCTGCCCAGGCCGTGGTCAGGCCCATTCAGCCCAGGCCCCTTTCCGCTGGAGGCCAGACTGTCTACAGCCTGGGTGTGCAGCTCCCTGGCCCCGCCTGCTCGCCCCAGCCTGACCACAAGGCCAAGGTCGTTGGCCATGCTGGCAGCATTGTGATCCAGCAGCCACAGCTGCAGCAGCCCGGCCTCCCGACAGGGCAGATCCTCACCCTCACCTCGGCTCCCTCGGTGCTAAATGGTCCGGCGCTGCAGACTGCCAATCTTGCTGGTGCGGGCCCCGCCTACTCCATATTGACCAATCAGAGTGGGACGGCCGTGCAGCTGGTGGCAGGGCAGGGCTTTCCAGGTGGGGGTCAGCTGATCGTGAACCAGGGCTTGATTGGTGGCCAAGTTCCTCAAGCCGCCCCCGCTGTGGTGCAGGTAGCTCAGGCACTGGGGGCCACTTCCAAAACCTGGGCCCCCAGCCTCACCCCTACCCCCGGTCCTGCCCAGGGCGCCCTGGTCACTTCGGCCGGGGCCGCTCCCTGTGACTATGCCAGCCAGATGGCAGGAGGGGGGGCTCCAGTGCTCCAGGCTCAGCAGCAGGTCTCCGTCAACCTTGAACAGCATTTTCTGGTTCCCCTGACACAGGGCGCTACCTCCTCCATACACATGGGGGCGCCAGAGCAGTCGATTGAGATGCAGACCTTCGTTGTGGTCCAGGTCAGTCTAACCACCGATCAGCATTCCCTTCAGTTCATCTCCACCTCTTTTCCCGCCTTATCATTCTTCCTACCTTAACTTCTTCACCTTTCTGCTGATATTTAAGTCCCTCTGACTTATGCTTTCATCGTACCTATATGACGTCACTGTATTATTTCCTTTCTGTTTTTCACTACAGATAACATTGGTCTGTACTGAGAGCCATTGTATATATATGCTCTAAGCTGTCAGTATTATTTTCTTTATTAATATTTATGTCATACATTTGTCATACTGCTTTCCTTACCATAATTGCTTTTTATCCTCTATATACCTGTTGTTGAACCAAACGAATTTCCCCCCAAGGGGGTCAGTAAAGTCCAGTCTGAGTCTGTCTGCCTGAGGTTAGGGCCAAGCAATAGCGTAATAGCACAGCTTGAACATTTGTTGCCCAGATAAATAGGTTCTGCCACGATGACAGTTAAGTGGTAGTGCTTTAAGTGATGGTGACGTCCCCCTCTGAACCTTGGGGAGCTGTTCAGGCCATGATCGTGATCTCCTCTTCATCACAGGACTCCTCATCAGCAGTGGAACAGGGCTTCCAGCAGGCAGTCAAAGGTAGGGGCCGTTTCTGTGTCTGGTTCTGTGTGTGTTGTGGTTGTGAAGATGAAAGCTCTGTCTCAGTCCTCCGGCTCCCGTCCTCCTCTTGTCTCTCCAGCTGGGAAGCCTTCACATGCCACCAGCCAAGTCGCACTGCAAACCACACATGCCACCAGCCAAGTCGCACTGCAAACCACACATGCCACCAGCCAAGTCGCACTGCAAACCACACAGGTATGAATGTCAGCATCACCACACACAGTTTGCTGCGTACGTCTCTGCAGGGATGCGTGCAATACTGTTAAAGCACTTGTGATTAAACAAATGATTACATCTGCAGAAATGGTCATTGTAATTTTGTTGTTATTTGTCATGACGTTAGCCACTGTAAGCACTGTTTTAGACTCTGAGACTCAGATTTTTCCCTGATGGCAGTATGACCCATTCAGCCAGAGAATAAAGGTTTAACTCTGTGAGCTCAGACTGTGTGGATCTGTGCTGGTAACACACCGCTTTGCCTTGTTTCTGCAGCCCATTTTCCGGGAGACTTCAGTTCCACAGCCGCTCACTAAGAGAGACCTGTGAGTGTCAGTTCTCCTCAAGAACCCCAGAGAACTTTGCCAATGAACATTGCTCCACCCACTTTATCACCTGGAGCTTCGAAGAACTTTGTGGATTGAAATGATACTTTACTGTGTGGATGTGAACTTCTCAGTTGCTCAGAAATGTTCTAGATCTCTTCTCACTGGCTAAGTAATATTTTAGATCTCCTCTCAATGGCTCCAGAATGATCTCAGTGTCTGTAGAACGTTCTAGGTCTCTTCTCGGTGGGTCTGACCGTAACCCCTCCATCACAGGGTTCTTCAGAGGCTGCAGCTGGACCAGGCCCGGGTTTTGTCCGTAGACACGTCCCCCTTCACCTCACCGGAGGACGCCGTCCACCGGCTCCTGCCCTATCACGTGTTCCAGGGGGCGCTGCCGAGTGACGCCGACCTGCTGAAAGGTGCCTTCCTGGCACGACTGTGTCTGCTTGTGAGAGCTGCTGTGTTATGTCAGTCGTATCCCGCAGACGGTACATGTTTCCTTCCCTCTCTCTCGCAGTGGACATGGAGTTCGAGTCTGCAGCTTGTAGCGTTCTGAACAGAACACGAGAGATGCTGAGCAAGTACCGGCGCCTCCTGCTGGTGGAGGCAGAGGTAGCGCCCATGACGATGCTAGCCAAAAATGTCCCTTTACTAAAAAACAACTGTACACAGGAACTTACAAACACAATGGTCTGCATCCCATCATCTGCATCCCCCCCCCACAGCGAACCAGTCCCTCGTCAGAGACGGTGATGATCTGTCGGACTTTTAACCAGGAGGAGCGTCAGGACCTGACGCAGGACAAGCGTCTGGCTCTGGTGGACCCCGGTGAGTCGAAGCTGCTCCGAGGCCCTTTCCAGCCCTCGTCTGGTGATCATACTCACCTCCTCCTTCCTTTCCAGAGGGCTTCCTGGAGGACTTCTGCTGTGTGCTAAAGCCGGCAGAATTTCCCAGCCCCCTGCACCGGGCAGAGCTGGCTGGAGAGGTCTCCCCTGCGGTTAGGAACAGCCCGGACATGAACGCATCTCCAGGGAGCTCCTTCAGTGTCTCTGACAGCGAGCACAGCAGTTTCCAGACGTCACTACAGTACCATTCAGAATTCAGTTCTCCTCTACAGGGGCGGGGCTTGGAGAGGCCCCTCCCCTTCGAGCAAAGCCAGTCGCCATTGGCTGACGCAGACTCTGTCCTGGAAGCAGCTGTAAATAGCATACTGGAGTGTTAGGAGGCACCCCACAACCCTGGCACAGCAAGAGCAGGACGTGTGCGCCGGCACGTTGCTTCGTGTAAGCGATGTTCTCCATTTCCCCGTCCTCTGTAAAGAACGCTTCCATGTTTCAGCTGTCCTGCGCAGCGGTGACCAGGTGACGGGCAGGTGCTCCAGGCCTGGCTGGGGGTCCTCGGTGTTCAGCCACACTCAGATCATTTCACCGTCCTCTGTGCCTTTCACTGCTCACTGCTGTCTTTGCCACACTGCAGCGAGAGCCTGCAGCTCCTCCCTTCCTTTATTGTATTTTATTATACAGTACTTTATGATGCTTTTATTCTGCCAGGATTTTGTTTTGTACCTTACAGGCATGTGATCCTGTTGTCACTAAAGTGTTTTTTTTTGTTTTAATGAACATTCAATGCCTCAGCCTGGGGCTGACAGGCTGCAGAAAGTGACCCGTACGCGTGTGTTTGCTGCTCGTGAAGCGGCCAGCTGATTGCCAGCCTGCGGCGTGGCTCTGCTCCTCTCACACTGCAGTGATACAGTGCGAGGGCTGGGTGTTTGCTGAGCTGCTGAGACGGGCTGTGGCAGATCACTTCAGAGTGTGATTCCTTGTGAAACATGGCCTTCAAATGTGATTTGACTCCCCAGGCTTTTCAATGCAGGCTCCCCCAGTGTACTCCTTCCAGTTTCCTGCGGAGGGCAGACCTGAGCTGCAGTAGCAGGATGCATAGTCTTTCGGCTTACTGTTACTGAGTGAATGACCAATGTTGTCCTCTCCTGATGCTCATGCTGGGCACTGTGCTCTTCACTTACCTGTAAAACTGTGTCCTTTTATAAGACGGCGTGCAGTAAACCATTTTTAAGATAAGTTCATGGTCTTTTATTTTGCAATAATGTTTAATAATGTGCAGCTGGGCTCTCTGATGAGCACTGAAGCAGTGAATGCTGGGAAGGGAAGTGACTTTGGTGGATTATTTGGACAGCTTGCCAAAACACTTTAAAAAATTTTTTTAACTCATTGAAAGAGAAATGTAAATGTAAGTAAATGTATGGAGATGTTGGAAAGGAGGAAACGGGGAAACTGGGAGAGAGATGTGACTCGCCATGATGAGGGAGAGCTTTAGTGGTGGCTGCCCATCTGTGTGTGTTGAGATGTTTCTGTAGACGTGTGCGGTGTTGCTTTATGTGGGCTGCTGGCCAAGCCTCTGTAGCCCATTTGTAAGATTTACACTATTCGTGAGTCTCTCTCACAGTGAAAAAAATGATATTCTGAAAGCCTGAGGAGAGACCAGGACCCAAATCTGAAAGGTCACGTCACCTTCCAGATGTTCCAAGTGGTGGATTTTCTGTATTCTGTGTTATTCCTCAGACTGCCTTCCGATGTGAGAATGTTAATTGTTTCCATCATCATCACCACGTTACTTTTTATTTTTGATTTTTCTACCATTTGTATAAACTAAGTACCTCTGAACCTTGATTTTGTATAGTTTTTGTATAAATATTGCAGAATCACAAAGTATTAAATATTTGTAATTTTTTGTAAAAATAATACCAATGGTAAAGCGACGAGGCAGTTATTTTTATTATTAAGTTGGAAGTGCTTTAGAAATCAGAATCTTATGATACTGTCATTTATTCTTGGTTTCTATGTGGTTTTGTGCGGATATTCGGTACATCAGCTGAAAATGTGAAAAAACAGCATTAAAATAATTTTCAAGTAATTCCAGACTTGTGGATGTTTATAACTGGCCGTGCATTTTGAGAGTGTGAGAGAGAAAACAATGGGAGAGAAAATATGCAGAACAAGACAAGAGGGAAACTGACTGTCATTGAATCGGTAAGCAAAACATCTGAGCCGACGTAATATGATACTGCATGTAATACTGCCTCCCCTTGGACACCTAGTGATAAATACACGCTGCCCCGTTAGCGCCTGAAAGGTCGTGGGTTCGATCTTCACACAGGGCAGGTGTTAATTTTGCATTGCACATTTTGTAAGTAACAATTTACTCACTATCTGTTCCAATTTGACCTATTGCTTATATTTTAAAGTCTGCTTTATTATTATTTTAATTTGTTTTGTTTTTTTTGTTGGAATATATGCACCAATACTGCCAGGACAAATTCCTAATACACGTAGGTGTACCTGACCAACATAGTGAATTCTGATTCTGATAAGGGTCCAGTTGTAAAATGTTTCCAGAACCCGATAGAAATATCTAATTCATATCTCAAATGGAGGAAAGGTCAGGATCATGGATCTTGTGGACAGATACAGGGAATGCATTCTTTGGGCAGAAATGCCGGTTTCTGGGTCAGATGAAACACGCTGGAGTATTAATAACATTATTTAAGAAACCAGTGAAGTGACCCATGAGGAGCTGGCTTTTAAACAGATAGATCAGGCGTGTCCCCCGTGTACCAGGCCATCTTCTGTTTTAAAATGTTTTTTTTTTTCACTTGATATGCTAGACCATTCAAAGAAACTGCCTCCCAATGGGACAATGGCGTAGATGTGTATAACCGCGTTTACCCCAGAAGGTCTCTGAGTGTGTTTTCTGAATCGCCTTTCAAAGGCCCTTCCATAGCAAGGTACTTAATCTTAAGCAAGCACGGTCGTTACCCTCAGTTGCAGTAAAATATCATGCAATAGTTATCCAAGAAATGTGATCTCTAAACATGTTAACTGTTATCTGTAATGTTTGTGTTTGTGGGTTTTTCAGCTGTCTGTGTACAATTCAGCACACTGATAGAGGCCTAAAGCTTAATAATATAAATTACAAATACTAACTCATAATAAATAATAATTGAATTTATCGAACAAATACGTCTATGAGCTCATGATGATCCGGTCTGAGAAAACAGTCACTAATCGTTAAAAAATATATATTTTTTTGTAAAATGTTAAAAGTATTCAGCTGAGCACACAACAACAGTTATACCCAAATAATCAGAATGAAAACGGCGTGCATTTGCTTGGATGTTCCGCCGTTCTTGTGTACTTGTGTTCTGTGACGCACGTGACAGGTGTCGCAACAGCGCCACCCAGCGCAGCTTGACGGAAAGTCTGCGGTACCTACAGTCAATTTGTCTTATTTCATGTAAAAATGTAATTGTAAAGATTTAAAATACAATAAGTTGTGAAGAAGGCCCATATATTATATGTGATACACAGATCACATGTAAGAAAATATTTTTTCAGCAAAATTCACATCACACCGATCATTCATAACTCCGTTATGTTTTTATGGTTTTAGACGCTGTTCTTATACCGCACGTTAACGTCTCTACCTAATTATGCCAGCTAAATTGGGATATGATGTTTAATTCAAATTTTCTGCTTGTTGGTATCGTGCCTCGTAGCGCCTGCTCTCTCTTTTTCTCCCATCAGCGACCGAAAACTCGGGCTCATCATCATCATCATTATCATCATCATCATCATCATCAGCATCATCACAGACATCGGCAGGAAGGCTGTGGATGTTTCAGCTGCTGGTCGCTATGTGACACCGGCACCACAGCAAAAGTCGCCCCCCTGGGAGAAATACAAGCGTTTACAGGAGGTCAGCAGTGAGGGCGGGGGCGAGGTGCTCCCACTGCCGGAGCAGGCGGGGCCGCAGACGCGCTCGGTGTTTCTCGGCCAGCACTATCCCGGAGCGAGCGGAGGAGCGAAGGGTGCCGTTGACAGCGCCGGAGCGTCGTAGCGGGGGCCGGAAGGAGGCAGACCTGCCGCTTTTTAATGAGGTGCTGGCTGTCAGGCTCTGCTAAAAGTGTCGCCTGGATGCAGCATCGCATCGTCGCATCTTCCCGAGCGCAGGAAGGAGACGAGCGAGGAGCAAAGAGAACAAAACCCGTACGGGATGGAGGGCAGCTTGGGTGAGAGCCGCTCGGCACCCTGTGCGACCGATTCCTGCAGTTTCCTTATTAAAACGGTGTATTAAAAGTGCAAATGTTTGGGGTCCATTGTCTTCACGGTTTTACGATGAGGAGGATCTACAGCGCGCACGCAGGGGGATTTGGACCGTAGGATAGCGAGCGTGCTCGTGGTACCGAATAACAGACATTTGCAAAGATGTGGCCTGTGCTGATCGTCAGCGAGCGTAAGGTTTTTTGGTAATTCTGCCCCATGTTTGACAGACATGACACAGTTTAAAGCTGCAGTGTGTTTTTCGGGAATAAATGCGTGTAAGCGCACTGGTCTCCTGCGGTCAGAGCCGGTGACGCGGGGGTCCTGGGACGCTACCGGGGCTCCGTCTCCGACCCCGTCAGGGTCCTGGTGCATGCACACCAACCCACCTGTGTTTCTTTATTATTATTATTTCATAACGTCTTCGTGACACTGTTTGCACAGGGCACAATTAAGAACCGTGCACCCTCCTCCCACACGCTATCGCTTTCGTAGGCTACAGTTGGTGGGTATATGGCCCCTCTGTGAAATTGCCGAAAGATGGTGTAATTGAGTTTTAGCCAGTATGCCTCTCTACTCAGTCATGTTGCCTGTAGCTGCGATGAGCTCTCGTTACACTAATTTAAGGGGGATAATGAGATTTCCTCCTGTGCACACCTGCCTGTCATTCTCTGTGGTTGTTATCTCCCGATGTCATCAACCTTTCTGTCGCTGTGAAAATACAGGAACAGAGATGGCGTTTGCGTTCCCAAAATCTATCACTGTGGTGCTTAAGAAAAGTGAAATGTCAGGGATTCCCTGTGCAGATTGTAAATGGTACATTTGGGTTACTTTAGTCAACCCTGAATCACAATTTACCATTTAATGGACACCTAAAAACAGATCTGCGTCTGCAATGTGTCAGAATGCAGGGGTGCACAGTGATGACCTCGTACCGAGTTAGAGACCATCTGCGCTCTGTGATGACCTCATTCCGTAATTCTGCAGTGCAGGGCCAGGATTAAGATTCGTGGTTTAGGAGGTCAGTTTTCAGGGAAATGTCAGGCTACCTGGTGTCCTGCTGCAGCAGCCATTAAACACAAAATGGTTGTGTGTTTTTCCAGTGTTCTAATGCCGGAATACGGACTTTGTCTTGCTGGGAAGACAGAGGGATTGGGAATGACGGCCTTGTGATTTTAGCGGGGGTTCCTCTGCTAAACATGCAGTCTGACGGATAGATTCTTCTTTCTTGGCGACCACATGGATCTAGAACTAGAGAAACGTTTCCATGGTGACAAATCAGCCATACAGTACAGAGTAGGGCTGTTGCCATGGCGATTGGATGGACAGGGAGAAAAATGTGTTTCCCAGTGGACAGATGTAGGTTTATGTGTTGGAGCTGCCTTTCTGTGAACTTCAGGTGATCCCGCTGGCCTGCCTTGTTTTCTCCTCTGAATAAACAGCTGTTACTCCCCCTGCGGGTAAAGCGGCACTCCGTCTGAGTGTGAAGGGGAGTGAGAGCATCTGGAAGAATTGATGGCTCCCGTGACGTTATGTTTGTTTTGTTTGTTGCCCGGTTCGCCTGCCCATCTCTCCCCATTTGTTCCATGTCGCATGGATCTGTTTGCTGGCATGCGATCCGAGTTTTTGCACGCATCTATTTAATTAAAGAAAAAGAAGTCAAAACAGGCTCTCTGTTATGTCAGGTCCAAGCAGGTGACAGCGTTGAAACTCTCACCAGCCAGTTCAGGCGTTGGTACTGATCAGGAGAACGGCCTGATCATAGTGGGGGGCTGAGGGGGGGGGAGAGCCTTTCACTGTGTCCCGGTGCTTGGGAGGCAGGGGCAATTGTGTGTCTGGGCAACCCAGCAGCTTTCGTTGTGGGCTTTTCATGCTGTACAGATGCCCCCCCCCCCCCCCACAGTGGGAGGGTATCCTGCAGCACTGGGTACTAAGTCCTTCAGGCTCAGTGGCCAGTGCAGTTCCTTCACCCATGACTGTGTGCGGACTCTGTATCAGCATGTAGGGCTTGTGTATCTGTTTCCTCTTGTGGATCAGAAGGGTCCCGTCCAGGGAGCTTCCAGACACCGTCGGCTCATCAGCTGCAGGAACTGGTTAGATAGGCTTGTCTGAAATGCACAGTGATTTGAATTGTCCATCCATCCATCCATCCATCCATCCATCAATTAATTCATTTTCTATACTTGCTTCGATCCAAATAATTACTCAAAGCAGTTAAAAGCTGTGGTGCGGTTAGGGGAACAATAGAGGTCCGTAAGTGGTCACTGTATATATGTATCTATGCTACCTAGGTCAGCCATCATGGTGTCTAGGATACAGCCACATTCCCTCCAGTTCCTGTGGCGTCGGGCCAGTCCTCCTGCCATCTGTGGTGTGCACACGGCCTCTCGGCAGGTCGTGCAGTTAGGATCTCCAGTTGTCAGCGCCGTGTGAGTTTGTGCTGAATTCAGCACACTGATGCCCCACATTCTGGTGTAAATGCCTCCCTGAGACCCACCGGCAGCTTTCCCAGCCTCCCTTGGGGCCCCCGCCCATCTCTTATTGATTTTCCAGTGGAGGATTTCCACACCACGAGGACTTCCTCTTTCCTTATCGCGATGGTTCCTTAACTCCACCCTTGACACTGCAGACACCTCCCTCAAAATACCTTCTCTTTTTAAAATTTAGGCAGTGAAATTTGAATCTGTCACTCTTCATGAACTCTGAATCTAGAGACTATTCTGACAGTGTAGACCCCTGACTCTGTACGGACTCTGAGCCTAGAGACTATTCTGACAATGTAGACCCCTGACTCTGTACGGACTCTGAGCCTAGAGACTATTCTGACAGTGTAGACCCCTGACTCCGTACGGACTCTGAGCCTAGAGACTGTTCTGACAGTGTAGACACCTGACTCTGTACAGACTCTGAGCCTAGAGACTGTTCTGACAGTGTAGACCCCTGACTCTGTACGGACTCTGAGCCTAGAGACTGTTCTGACAGTGTTGACCCCTGACTCTGTACGGACTCTGAGCCTAGAGACTATTCTGACAGTGTAGACCCCTGACTCTGTACGGACTCTGAGCTTAGAGACTGTTCTGACAGTGTAGACCCCTGACTCTGTACGGACTCTGAGCTTAGAGACTGTTCTGACAGTGTAGACCCCTGACTCTGTACGGACTCTGCACCTAGAGGCAGACTGACCCAGGCCTTGCAGTCCGCCTGCTTTCTGCTGAGCTCCTCTGATTCCAGAGCAGATGGTACCATGGCCTCCATGCTGGAGCTACAAGCTCTTCAGATGGGACGTGTCTCCGGTCGATGGTCCTGTGATCGGGTTTGGTGTAGCGACATAAAGTATCCCAGGAGATGCATGCGCACCAGTATGCACACTCACATGCACACACAGATTTGTGTGTGTTATTCGAGGATTTAAGGGCTCAGCTGGTAATGAGCTACAAGTTTTTTCTTGCCTGTAGATGGGGATTATGATGTGAGATCCGTGGCCTTAGTGTGAGCTGAAAATGAGGTTGGAGGATGGGGAGCATCACCTGCAGCTTCTGAGGAGGATGAGATGGCAGGGAGGTGCTATCGGCATGGCGCTACAGGGGGGTGTTACAGAGGAGTGCTACAGGGGGGTGTTACAGAGGAGTGCTACAGGGGGGTGTTACAGAGGAGTGCTACAGGGGGGTGTTACAGAGGAGTGCTACAGAGGGGTGCTGTAAAGGGGTCTGCAGACGGGGTGTTACAGAGGTGCACTGTAAATTGATGTCTTATGAAAGATACAGCTCCAGTGTAACTCCGCAGTTAGAATGGTGCTCACATCCAATTTTCACAGAGATGAAATCCAGTATTTGTGTGTCTGAGTGTGAGTGAGAAATATTTTTCAACTCGGCCACTGGGGATGACAAGCAGCTTGTGTACATGGGCTGCGCTTTATTCTGCCAGCCAAATTATGAAGATCAGTAAAAATACACACTGGAATGAAAATGATCAAAAAATAAAATAAAATTGAAACAAAATTAAAAGGAAAGAAAACAGAAAAATGTATTAAAATATAAACTAATTAATAAAAATGGAACTAAAATTACCTTGCATTGCTTGGCAGTGTGTCACTGCAGTGTTTCATTATTTAACATTATGTAACGATTCAGTGTTACAGCATGTAACATTATTTAACGATGCAGTGTTACATTACATAACATAATGTAACAATGCAGTGTGACATGTAACATGTAATGGTGCAGTGGTTACATTATGCAACATAAAATGCTGGATATGGACAGTTGGGTCGTGCCACTAGCAATAATGTTGGAGTACCTTATGTGTTCAGGGGAGCAGGGGCTTTGGGGCTGATTTGGTTGCTGACAAAGTTGAAACTCAACATATTCTCTTGTGTAACATGATCTAATGGTGCAGTGTTATGTGTTGTAACATAATCTAACAATGCAGTGTTTCATCATGTAACCTTATCTAATGGTGCAGTGTTACATTATGAAACATTATATAATAGTGCAGTGTTACATTGTATAACATTACCTAACAATGCAGTGTTACTTAACAGTCCTGTAGTAATAGCCCTGCAGTTTCTTATTGTCCTCTGCTTTCCCCTCTGTCACTCTTTTGCTCTCTCTCCCTCTCCTCTCTGTCCTAAATAGAGTAGCTGGCTGTTACACTTTGAGCCCACTGGCAGTGTTTGTGCTTCTCTGAGCACAGGTGTTACAAGGTGATGGGGGCTCTGTGTGAGGGGGGCCTGTGTGTACAGCACTGTGTAGCGTAAATGTACCTTGTGGTTTGTCTTCAGCGTGAAGGTGGGGCTTTAGCCTAACTGCATGTCTAACTGCATGTCTTTGGACTGTGGGAGGAAGCCCACACAACACAGGGAGAACATACAGACTGCACACGCAGAGCCGAGGCGGGATGCAAACCCCGGGCTGAGCCTCTGCGCCGGATCAGTAATAATATCAGTGGTGATACTGGTCATGAGCAGCGTGTGTCTCTCCTCAGATGACAGCATCTCAGCAGCCAGCATGTCGGATGTGCACGACCGCCTGTCTGCGCTGGAGTTGCGGCTCCAGCAGCAGGAGGACGAGCTGATGGTGGTGAAGGCGGCACTGGCTGACGTGCTCCGGCGCCTACCCCTCCCCGAGGAGCCGGTCCCCTCCAGGAGACCCCCCGGCAAGGGT